AGTCGGGTTACTACTGCCTAATCAATCGTTCTAAATATCACACCACACTTCAAATTGAACATTACGCTCACCACTATTGATCACCACTCTTGAACTTTAATCTCAGCCGTCATCTGCTCTTTTCCTGTTAATTAATTTCTTTCCACTGCATCAATTCACGCCAAAGGTCCAATAATAACTGCCCAGAGCAATCTAATCTTTGGTGGTATTTATATGAATTAGTCAACAAAGAAAACACGTTTCATCTCTAATTTTACTGTGCAGAGGCGGACCTCATAGGACAAAAAAATTCACAATGATAATATGACTTCATTTCGATCATAAGAAATGCCAATACAACAAACTCTTTAGTTGGGAAAATCAAATTGGTCGTCCTGAAAAGGACGGTTTTGTATGTTGGGTGCGGTCTCCGATTAAATTTAAGCCTTCTTCTCAGTCTTCTTGGGCAACAGGACGGCCTGGATGTTTGGCAGGACACCACCCTGAGCGATGGTCACTCCGGACAGCAGCTTGTTCAACTCCTCGTCGTTGCGAATGGCCAACTGCAGGTGACGTGGAATAATTCTGGTCTTCTTGTTGTCACGGGCGGCGTTTCCTGCCAACTCCAGAACTTCAGCGGCCAGATATTCCATCACGGCAGCCAGATAGACGGGAGCACCGGCACCAACGCGCTCGGCGTAGTTGCCCTTCCTGAGCAGACGGTGAATACGACCGACTGGGAACTGCAATCCAGCGCGGCTCGAGCGGGACTTTGCCTTTCCCTTAACTTTTCCTCCTTTGCCACGGCCAGACATGGTTCGATGTAGTAGGGTAGATTACGATGTGAAAATGAAACGAACAGTTAAATGCTGAACTTGTACTGATGTCGTTTTAGCTCGTTGACAATGCTTTTATACCTGCGTCGAGCAGCATATCATGAGTATAAGGCGGGTAGCATAACACTGGTTTTGAGTAAAATACATAAAAGGGGACGAGTGTCGTTTATACCCGTAGCATATAAAACGAGACACCATCGTCTAAACGAAATTATTAGCGTTTTCTCTACTCAACTCAACAGCTTTACTATGGCACCGAAAACCAGTGGAAAGGCCGCCAAGAAGTCCGGCAAGGCCCAGAAAGTCATCGTCAAGGGCGACAAGAAGAAGAGGAGGCAACGCAGGAAGGAAAGCTATGCCATCTACATCTACAAGGTGTTGAAGCAAGTCCACCCGGACACCGGAGTCTCGTCGAAGGCCATGAGCATCATGAACAGCTTTGTCAATGACATCTTCGAACGTATCGCTGCTGAGTCGTCCCGTCTGGCTCAGTACAACAAACGCTCGACGATCACTTCCCGCGAAATCCAAACCGCTGTCCGTCTGCTGTTGCCGGGCGAGTTGGCCAAGCACGCCGTCTCAGAAGGAACCAAGGCCGTCACCAAATATACCAGCTCCAAGTAGATTCGTACCAAACGAAACAATCAAACGGCCCTTTTCAGGGCCACAAATCAATTTCTAGTGTAAAAGAGTTGAATTTTGAATGCAATTTTTGTAATTTTGGGTGTACATTTTATAATGTGCAATTTAAGTAAGTGCTGTTGTGTTTGTCATTGAGATTTCATACTTATGGATTTTAACAACATTTCCTGATTTTTTTGTTGAAGACTGTACTCCAATTGAACTTGAAATAAGAAAGTTATTCAATTTAGTATCCAAGCTAATTTATTTTACATTATTTCACAGCTGTTCATTTGGGAACACTGCGTACATATTGGGAGGTGGGATGGCAAAATCAGAACGATGGGTGGTACGGTGCTACAATAACATGCATTTGGGAGGGATATCTGTTTACTGACTTAAACATAGAATATCACCAGGTTCAGGTTACAGAAAAACGATAATAAGGGTATTTGTGGAATCAAGGGGACGTATAGGGACCGGAAATCGATGTATTACGCCATTTTGAAACCCAAGATGGCGGCTTTTGGTTACAGAAAACTGGAAAATACTGTAAAATACCCCACAATATAGGTATTTGTGGAATCGTGGTGCCGTGTAGGGACCGGAAATCGATGTATTACGTCATTTTGAAATCCAATATGGCGGCTTCCGGTTACAGAACACTGCTTAATACACCACAATATGGGTATTTATGGAATCGGCGTGACGTGTTGGGTCAGGAAATCGATGTTTTACACCATTTTGAAATTCAAGATGGCGGCTTACGATCACAGAAAATCTGGAAAACTGTCAAATACTCCACAACATGGGTATTTATGGAATCGGGGTGTCGTGTAGGGACCGGAAATCGATGTCTTTCGCCATTGTAAAATCCAAGATGGCGGCTTCCGGTTAGATAAAAACAGGGTAATACTGACGAATTCCCCACCGTATGGGTGTTCATGGAATCGAGGTGACGTGTAGGGACCGAAAATTGATGTATTGCGCCATTTTGAAATCCAATATGGCGGCTCCGGTAACAGAAAATCTGGAGAATTCTGTCAAATACTCCACAACATGGGTATTTTTGTAATTGGGGTGTCGAGTAGGGACCGTAAATCTATGTCTGTCGCCATTTTGAAATCCAAGATGGTGGCTTCCGGTTAGATATAAAACTGGGGAATACTGTCAAATACCTCACAATATGTGTATTTTTCGAATCCGGGTGACGTGTAGGGACTGGAATTCGTTTTCTGACGTCATTTTGAAATCACAGATGGTGACTTCTGGTTACAGGAAAACTTGGAAATACTGTTGAATACCCAACAATATGGATATTTTTGAAATCGGTGTGACGTGTAGGGACTGAAAATTGATGTTTTATGGCATCGTTTGAGGTGCATTTCTATTTATTTTTTGTTATTACTTCGTCAGTATGAATCTACCTATAAATCTTCCTAGTTTAGCATTTCAATTACTTTTTCAAGGTTTTCACTTCTATTTCAAAATTTTAGTCTGATTTTGAACTGTTTTTTTCTTTTTCAGCGCAATTTTGTTAAATATCTTTGATATTTAAAAAATGCTATTCTATTCTCGGGTTTCAGTTTATCATGCAGTTTGAATCAGATTATTTTATGAGAATATTGTATGCAAGAAACAATTACTTTTAAGGTGTTTTCCATAAAAACAAACAACCCATATCATGCATTAATTCACATCTTATTCATGTTTTTGCATGTTTCTGCAAGAAATTTTGATTGTTTTGAAGAAAACACGCTTAACCAGTTCTATTCCTATTGGTTTTGTCGTGAGATGTGGTAGTAAAGCGTAATTAAAGGACAAAACATTATATATTTTAAGCAGCAGTGTGCTATAGTATTCAATCAATTCTATGTGATTAATCATTAATCTGTCGATGTAAAACCAAGAAGCTTTTCATATCCAGATGCTAGTCTAAAATGCAAGATTCTCGAGATATTGACTTTTGCCCGTTTTTTACAGTTCTGGACCACTGTGCGTGGCCTTAGAGCAACTCAAGAGTGGGGGGAGCTCCTGATGGGCCAAATTCCTTATAGCTCTCTTTCCCCCTCTGAGGAGAATATGTTGGAATTGTTGGAACACACCACAATAGGAACACATAGAACACTTTCAGCCCAAACAGCAAAACCAAAATTGAATTTCAGACTCGACCTTCTCTGATTTGCATGAAACTTTGCAAAATTGCTAAAATTCGGCCATTTTGACTCCCTTAAAAATCTCCACAATGGTAGATTCATCATTTTGCATTTTTTTCAAAATGGCGACTTTCTCATTTTTAATAAATTGTAGATCGAAAACGTCACTTCTGATGGCAATGACAAGTAGTATTTTTTGTTGAGTTGTGCTATGATAATTTTTTTTATCTAGTTTCTTTATTTGGAAGGCTCAATCACGATAGCTTTACGGAGCCGATAATTCATTGTATGTGCTGTGATAATAAACACACAATTTCGCGTGAAATAGTGCCGTGTGTTTTTTCAACAGGTTAAGTAGGAGAACGGTTGCCCCAGCAGCTCGTTCTCGCTTGATTTTACATTTTTCCCGGGGCGCTTTGATTTTGTATAGTGAGGTATGGCGTGAAAAATATATTTTGTGTTATTCTCCTATGTACATGTTTGCTCCTAATAGTGTTCGCTTTTAATTTGGCCTTGTAATATGGCAACAATTGTGCAACACTCACTAAGACTGCAGCGATACTAATAGCAAAGAGCACAAATGTTTTTTTTTCAAGTGTGATAACTGTCTATCAGGTTAGTGTTGTAACGTGCAGAACGTTGGGGTTTTGGATGCTCAAATGATTGGCAAAGCAATAAAGCAATTGTCTTCTGTTGCAGACTCAATCACTGTTAGCGCTTCAGTCCAGCACCAATAACGCTCAGCAAAATAAATTCGTAACCCTATCCCCAAACACAAACGAAGTCTTCTGTAGCAGGTAGAAATCACACATCGTGGCAACAGTGCGACGAACGAACGGGATGAATCAGAGAGAATCTGTTATGTACCTGCTTTTGTACACAATGCGCTGCTCATCATTGCACACGGCACAAAAGTAAATATGAGGCATCGTCTACGTAAAGTACATAGAAGGAGGAATACCTACAAAAACCGACGCAAACCCAACTAGAGAGATCAGTTTCATTTCAACCATTGATGTTTATACACAAGTTCTAAATGCGCAAATATAGTTTTAGTTTAGTGTAAATCAGTGTTTTTCTCATCCATCCGATCACATCCAGAAGCAAGTGGTTTTACAAATACAGTCCACATCAGTTGTCTGTAGTTTGTTTGAGTGGTCCACCCATGAGCCGTTTGTCTGCGGACAAACAAATCGCAAATCCAGCCACAAGACAGCAAGCTGCATTCTTCCATCATCAAGGGCCAAGCCTAGGCCCAAACATTGGTCCTTCGAGCCGGATCGTTCCTGCTGCCACCGTCGCTTCTGGTGAGATTATTGGTTGTGAAAGAGTGAAAAGTGAACACGAAAGAATAAGACAATCAGGCCTATTCTGCGTGTGAGGCCTTAATAAGTGATAAACAGACAAAATGCCACCGAAAAGAACCCCAGTGAAAAATCAAAATAACAACAATGATAACGATAGTGATGAAGACGTCGATGCGCTTATCCACCTCCGTGATATGGCGCAAGCAAAGGTCACCAGGATTAACTCCGTTTTGCAAAATGCCAGAGTGGAGCAAATCGAGCTCACTCTTCCGCAAGTGAAAATGTATATAAAGAAGTTAGAAGCCGCATACGCCGAGTTCACCACCAATCATCAGCGAATCATCGAGAATATTTCTGCATCCAAAAGAAAGGAACACGACCATTGCTACCTACAATTCGAGGACCTTCACGACGGAGTTTCAATTTTTCTCGAAACCTGGCTTGAAAAAATCTCCAAACCACCAGTTGATCCGCCACAGCACATTGTCAATCAGCAGCCGTTGATTGTCCAGCAGCCACTTCCACGTGTCATACCTACGTTCGATGGAAAATATGAACACTGGGAGAGATTCAAGATTATGTTCCGGGATGTAGTGGACCGAACGAACGAATCCAGTCGCATAAAGCTGTACCACCTCGAAAAAGCATTGATCGGAGACGCCACGGACATAATAGATGCGAAGACTATCAGTGACGGTAATTACGAACGGGCATGGCAACTGCTCGAGGAACGCTTCGAAGACAAGAGGCGTATTGTTCATCTACACATTGGAGGCCTCATCAACGTGAAGAAACTGTTCAAGGAGAACTACGACGATTTACGAATGCTCGTCGAGTCTTTTATCAGCCATGTGGAGAATCTCAAGTTCCTGGGTCAAGAACTTACTGGAGTTTCAGAGCAGATTTTGGTGTACATTCTGGCTGGAGCGCTGGATGACGAAACCAAGATGCATTGGGAGTCTACAGTCAAGCGAGGAGTGATGCCTACCTACGACGAAACCATTACATTCCTGAAGCACCGTGTCTCCGTCCTAGAGCGGTGCCAAATCCAAGCACCACACAGCGAGGCTCAACCCAAGCAACAACGTGTCAATCTTAAGCCAATAACGTACAAGCCATCGTTCCAAAAAGCCAACGCAGCTACAACACCGACGCAACAAGAACTTCGGTGTGACTTCTGCAGCAGCAATCACTTCACCTACAAGTGTCCATCGTTCAAGAATTTATCGATCAGCCAGAGGTTTGCGCTGGTGAGAGAGAAAAACATCTGCTTTAACTGCCTCCGAGTTGGACACCGATCGACAGAATGCAACTCCAATAAGACGTGTTTCAAGTGCCAGAAGAAACATCATACCATGTTGCACGAAGAGTCTCCGATGCAGGATGTAGCAGCACAAAGAAATTCTGCAAGTCAACCAGCCATCACGCCGCCGATGGCATCCGGATCTAGTGAAGTATCTTCCTCGTCCAGTAGTGAACCATCCGGCAGTAAGCTGCCAGCGTGCAACCATTCCCAGGCAGTAAAGACTGTCATGCTTCTTACAGCCGTTGTCAATGTGCGAGATCGCAACGGAGGAGTTATTCCATGTCGCACCCTTCTGGACAACGGTTCCCAGGTAAATTTAATTTCCGAATCAATGGTTAACCGTTTAGGTCTGGAACGAAAGCCGGTGTGTATCCCTATCACTGGCATAGGAGCATCAAAAACGTACGCCAGAGACATCATCCTCGCCGAAGTTCAATCCAGGATAAACAATTTCACCATGGAGATCGAATGCTTGGTCGTTCCCAAGGTAACAGGAGTGATTCCGTCAACAAAGATCGATACATCATCGTGGCCAATACCAGCTGGTTTCCAAATGGCCGATCCGCAGTTTCATACGCCAAACCATATTGACATGCTTATCGGTGTATCAAAGTTCTTCCGTTTACTAAAGTCGGGATTCTTCCAAATGGCCGATGACCTGCCAGATCTTCGAGAGACCCACTTTGGATGGGTAGTCGCGGGAGATGTAGGAGATTCCATTACCGGTCAGCAGTATGCACATTCTGCAACGGTTGACCAAGTCCACGAAACGATCCAACGGTTCTGGGAGCTGGAGGAAGTCCAGTCGGAATCGTCTCCTGGAAGCGAACAGGAAGAGTGCGAAGCATTGTTCCTTTCCACCTATAGCAGAGACAAATCAGGGAAGTATATCGTCCAGCTTCCCTTTCGTGAAGCAGTAGCCGAGCTTGATGACAACCGTTCGCTTGCTCTCCGACGATTTCTGTCACTGGAAAAGCGCCTGAAAAGAGATCCAGAGTTAAAGTCGGAGTACACCAAGTTCATTGAAGAGTACGAATCCATGGGACATTGCAAAGAAATCAACGAGATGGACGATTTACCCGATCAACGTCGTTACTACATGCCTCACCATGCTATCATACGTCCATTGAGTACCAGTACCAAACTGAGAGTGGTATTCGATGCCTCGGCGAAATCACATCCATCGCAAATTTCGCTGAATGAATCATTGCAAGTCGGACCGACTGTGCAAAGTGACCTGCTCGAGATCCACATCCGATTCCGCCAGCACAAAATCGTCTTCACGGCCGACGTGACGAAAATGTATCGGCAAATTTGGATTGTTCCGTTCCAGACGTGCTTCCTTCGCATTTTTTGGAGAACCAACTCAGCTGATCCTCTGCGCGTATTTGAATTGACGACAGTCACGTATGGTACTGCATCCGCTCCATTTCTGGCCACCCGGTGCCTGGTTCAGCTGTGTAAGGATGAAGGTGCCGCATTCCCAATGGCAGCTCAAATAATCCTGGAAGATTGTTACGTCGACGACATCCTATCTGGCACTGACAGCGCAGAAGAAGCGATTGATTGCATCAACCAAATCCAAGGCCTGCTGCAACACGGAGGATTTCCCGTCCATAAGTGGTGTTCCAACGATCCAACTGTGTTAAAACATATTCCTGATTGCGATCGGGAAAAGTTGGTGCATCTCGACCCCTCATCCAACGATGGAGTAGTTAAAGCCCTGGGAATGATTTGGAGTCCCGGAGAAGATGAGTTCCGCTTCCATACTATCCAATCTGCTGAGGAAATTATCACCAAGCGTCGAGTGCTATCCGAAATAGGGAAACTTTTTGACCCACTCGGACTCCTTTCACCGGTGGTAGTAATTGCGAAATTGTTGATGCAACAGCTCTGGGTTGCTGGTATTTCTTGGGATGAAAACCTCGACGGAGATCTACTTATTTCCTGGCAACGATTCCATCAATCTCTGCCTCAGGTGAGTGAGATTAGAATACCACGTAACGTTTTTCTCTCAGATTCTGTTGCTATTGAACTTCACGGATTTTGTGACGCTTCTACCGTTGCGTATGGCGCTGCTGTTTACGTCCGAAATATCTATTCGGATAACACTGCCATGCTGAGGCTTTGGTGTAGCAAATCCAAAGTTGCTCCGATTAAAGAATTGAGTATTCCACGCAAGGAACTACTCGCTGCCAGGCTACTGTCCAAGCTCATCATCAAAGTTCTCTGTTCATCCAAGCTCCAATTCCGAGAGGTTATACTTTGGTCAGACAACCAAATTGTTTTGGCGTGGCTCAAAAGGCCTTTGGGCACGCTTCAAGTGTTTGTTCGAAACCGAGTAGCTGGTATTCTCCAAGAGACGGGCAATTTTACATGGAATTACGTGCCATCCAAGGACAACCCGGCTGACACTGTATCACGTGGCCAGCTTCCAGCAGCATTGAAAAACAATGATTTATGGTGGAATGGTCCAGAATTTCTACGAGTCGTGGACTATCAAGTTGACACACCCGATGAGTTACCAGAAAGCAACATTCCTGAATTGAAGCAGATCAAGATAGTAGCAGCCGTCGCTTACAACCAAGATGAGCTTCAATTGTTTTCCAAGTTCAGCTCGTTCCGCAAATTGCAACGAGTTGTTGCATACGTTCTACGCTTCATCAACAACTGCAGAAAAAAGAACACCATTCAGCGGAAGTATCAGCCTCATCCCACTATCGACGAGCTTCGATTGGCATTAAACCTCATCGTCAAGGTAGTGCAACACGAGGTTCTCGCTGATGAAATTGTGCATATCCAAAACGACGAACCAAGCAAACGGATGAGCATGTTGTTACCTTTTTACGAGGGCGGTCTTCTACGAGTAGGAGGCAGACTGCAACAATCCAAACTTCCAATTGATAGTCAGCATCAAATGGTTCTCCCAAAGCATCCCATCACTGACATGATAATTCGAGCCTACCACTATGAGAATCTTCATGCTGGACCATCTTTGCTACTTGCAAGCTTACGGGCGAAGTTTTGGTTGCTTGATGGGCGATCTTCTGTACGCAAGATAACTAGGACTTGTGTCACCTGTTTCCGTACAAGACCGAAAGGATCAAGCCAACTGATGGGTCAACTTCCATCCTGTAGAGTTTCACCATCGCACCCATTCGAGGTTACTGGTGTGGATTATGCAGGACCAGTTCTGGTGAAGCAAGGTATCCGTAAGCCTCAATCCATTAAAGCATATTTTGCAGTATTTGTGTGCATGACAACTAAGGCCATTCATCTGGAGCTTGTGTCAAATATGACAACCGAGGCATTTTTGGCAGCACTTCATCGTTTCGTCAGCCGACGAGGACTACCACGAGAGATCCACTCCGACAATGGATCCAACTTTAAAGGAGCGAAGTCCGAACTTCACGAGTTGTTCCTGCTATTCAATGACCGGAACACCACCAGCCAGATAGCTGAATACTGTCAACCGAGAGAGATTTCCTGGAGTTTCATTCCTCCTGAGGCTCCCAACTTCGGTGGTTTATGGGAAGCTGCAGTAAAGAGCACCAAGTTCCATCTTAAGCGCATCCTGAAACACTCTTTGCTTACTTTTGAGGAGTATGCAACGGTCCTAAGTCAAGTAGAAGCTGTGCTAAACTCTAGACCATTGTTCACACAGTCAACTAATCCAGCTGATCCAGAGGTCCTTACACCGGGACATTTTTTGATTGGTCGTCCACTGACTGCAGTCCCACAGCCTTCTTCCGAGGAAGTAGCCATCAATAGACTTTCACGATGGCAATACCTGCAACATCTACGAGATCAATTCTGGAAGGTATGGAAGCGAGACTACCTTCTAGGTCTTCAACCGAGAGGAAAGAATCGTATGGTATCTCCGAACATCCAACCCGGAATGATGATAATCTTAGAAGATAAGGATTCTCCGCCACAATCCTGGAAACTGGGACGTGTTGTGCACACCTATCCTGGACCTGATGGATTAGTGAGAACAGCAGATATCAAGGTAGGAGATTCAATTCTAAGACGTCCCACATGCAAGCTATCAGTTCTTCCGATTGAGGACAACGGATCTACCAATACTTCAGGACATCCGAAAGACTCTGGGAATTCATCCCAGCCCGGGGGAGTATGTTAGCGCTTCAGTCCAGCACCAATAACGCTCAGCAAAATAAATTCGTAACCCTATCCCCAAACACAAACGAAGTCTTCTGTAGCAGGTAGAAATCACACATCGTGGCAACAGTGCGACGAACGAACGGGATGAATCAGAGAGAATCTGTTATGTACCTGCTTTTGTACACAATGCGCTGCTCATCATTGCACACGGCACAAAAGTAAATATGAGGCATCGTCTACGTAAAGTACATAGAAGGAGGAATACCTACAAAAACCGACGCAAACCCAACTAGAGAGATCAGTTTCATTTCAACCATTGATGTTTATACACAAGTTCTAAATGCGCAAATATAGTTTTAGTTTAGTGTAAATCAGTGTTTTTCTCATCCATCCGATCACATCCAGAAGCAAGTGGTTTTACAAATACAGTCCACATCAGTTGTCTGTAGTTTGTTTGAGTGGTCCACCCATGAGCCGTTTGTCTGCGGACAAACAAATCGCAAATCCAGCCACAAGACAGCAAGCTGCATTCTTCCATCATCAAGGGCCAAGCCTAGGCCCAAACAATCACTGCCATACGAAACGACGTTGCGGTTCAGATGGACATCATGTTAAAAGGCGGGAAGGAAGAAATTAAGCAAAATGTAAATTGTCTACTTAAAACACATAGGGGAAATGTTGGCTTTGGCAATACCTTAATCTATTATCGTCATGAGAGCTCAATTTCGGCATTTGGATACATTGTGTTTCAGATCATCTTTTGGCCAAATTTGAGTGCTCTAGGATTTTTTTATCTAGTTCGTTTATTTGTAAGGCTCAAACGCGTTAGCTTTACGAAGCCGATAATTCATTGTTCTTTGTTTGTAACATGCTCTACGACTTTGTTTACCCCTGACGATAATAGGTTAAGGTATTGCCGAAGCCGACATCTCCCCTATTTGTAAGAAATTGGACACTATGACAAGTTCAATTTTTAAAATTAATACGGAAAAACAATAAGCTGCAACGGATGATCAGCGTAGTGTATCTAAGACGATTCAGTCGGAATCGAACCAAACTACCAGACGCAAAAAATGAAAATACAAAATAGTGATAATGATGATGATATTTTTCAAGATAATGCGAATTTTGCGGATGTTGAAAAAATATATAGTTGTTTTAGTAATCAGAAAATCAGCAACAGTTACAACCCGTTAGACTCGTCCGGTCATTGTTATTAAACCAAAAGAGTCCAAACAAGCTTGCGAAGATACTCGTAACTTTTTGAAAACACAGTTAGATCCAAAAACACACAAAATCAGTTATTTTAGGAATGGTAGAGATGACACTATTATTGTTGAGTGTGCAACAGGAGCTAATCTAAATGATGTGAAAAATGGTATTGAAAGCAATCTGGGTGAAAAATATAGTGCTGCTGTTCCCACTTCGGTGCCAAGATTGAAAATAATGGGCATGATCGATGTCTACTTAAAAAGTCAAAATGAAGACATCACTATTTATGATGTAAAAGTAAGTACAACAAGCTTAGGGTTGTGATTGAAGTCGATGTCGATACGAATAAATGTTTGTTTTGTGCGCAAAAAAGTAGGGTTTGATCAGTGCTCGATAGCTTCCGCGATTAATGTGTTGAGATGCTTCAAATGTGGAGAATTTGGGCATAAGAGCATAGATTGTAAAAATTGTGAGAGATGCTCTAGGTGCAGCCAAGAACACAAAATGTCAGAGTGTACGTAAACTTGATTGAAATGTGTTAGTTGTTTGAAAATGAATAAAGAACGTAAAATGAACTTGGACGTCAACCATGTCACATTTAGCTCTGAATGTTTACTCTATGAAAAATATTTTCATCAGTAAAAAAGTTACTTGCGTTTAAATATATAGCAACCAAGTTTCAGCAATACGAATCAATTCGATTTTTTGTCTTTGAATATTGCGGGGTTGTCAACAAACAACGTGGGATTTCGTCAGATTGTTGAGGAAAAACGTACTCTTTTAGGGTTATTAGCTGAAACTCATATTGTAGAAATATAAGCTTTTGATCAGTTTAGTATTCCGGGATGTATTTATTTTATTTATTTTATTTATTTATTTCGTCAACCAACGTAGACTAGTACAATTAATACAGTTTTGTTTTCTTAAATATATATTTATATAAAAAAGTAGTGTCAGCTTTCTTGTCTTTTCTTTTATGAGTTGTTATTTCTTATGGAATAAAAATATTGCTTTAGTTTATGCCGAGACATTGTAAAGTCAATGGTTTCGCAGTGTTTATTGTAAGAGGCCATCATGCGGTTTAATGGCCCATATTTTGCATAATTTGTGCGATGATGTTTTATGGCAAATAAATTTCGATTTCGGAGTTGCCGAGTGGGTGCATGGAAGTTTAATTTTGATAAAAGTTCTGTTGAGTCAATTCGCTGCGAAACGATATCATTTACAAATGAAACCATTGCATATTCACGACGCTCTTTTAATGTTTGTATGTTTATAAGCATGCAGCGTGCTTCATATGATGGAAGAGGAAATGAAGTCCAACCTAATTTACGAAGAGCGTATAATAGAAATTGTTTTTGTACTGATTCTAATCTTTCTTCGTGCGTGATTGAAAATGGAGACCATACAATACTGCAATATTCCAGTATTGACCTCACATAGGCAATATATAGTGTTTTAATTGTGTAAGGGTCCTGAAAGTTATAGCAAAAGCGCTTGATAAAGCCTAGCATGTTATTTGCCCTGTGAATAATTGTGTTGTAATGGTCTATGAAAGTTAGCTTAGAGTCTAAGATAATTCCTAAATCCCTAACTCTTTCACATTTTTCTACATTTTGATTTCCTAGTGCAATTGAAATATTT